CCCTTGGCATGTCTATGGTGTCCCGGAAGTGCTGCTGTGGTTGCAAGAGTTGAGGAAATCCTCCGCATGATCACTCACAAGAATGCTGGCAAGTACTCAACAACCCTCTCTTGAGGGTGGGAGGGGAGGACTCTAACCATCCAAAAAGGAAGAGTATTAACTACCACTTTTGAGAAGAGACCCCAAGATTTGAAGAACCATGGCTCAATCTTGAGAGGACCAGCCAATTATTGGCATGAAAACCTCTTTAAAGTAACCGAACTGTATTCACAACACTCCAAAAATAGAAAGTGTCGCACATACCTCCAATGCAAGTCGTGAAGGCTCCACCACACGAGCATAAATGTACTCTGTTTTCCCTGCATAAATATCGGCAATGAACAAACTTGTTCAACATGGACAAAAAACTGGTGACACGTCAATCAAAGATGTGTATAATGCTTTGTATACAAACTAAGTTCAAGTGCTTAACAATAAAGCATTTCATGTTATTATGGATTGCACCCTCTTGGCAGCTGCCGCTTTGTAGTGCCTTTATTTCTCTATCACAATAAAAAAAATCACATATAATACAACTAAAATGATTAACTATGTGCCACATATAATGTAAGCAACAGTGCAGATTATGCAAAAAAGTTTAGCCACCTCAATGGTCGTATTATGGTAGTTCTGCCAATGAAGTAGATCAGTAACTTGCTTTTACATAAATGGATATTGATGCAGAGAGTCTTGAATTTTACTTCATAAATAAGTATTAAAAATTAATATTTCCATTAAATAAAAGGCGATAATCATACCACCTGGCTGGATATCTCTTTAACATGTTACTATTAAAAATTTATGCTAATTTGGCAAGTGAGCCCAAGACAAATGGTTCCCAATCACAACTTGCAAGCATTTCTGAAGGCTTTACTGATATTCCCCATAATGATAAATCTCATCAAGTGTTCCAGAAAAGAAATAGGACCCCCCCCCACAAAAAAAAAAAGAAAAATTAAGAGGAAAAAAGGATACCACTGTTGGAGAAGTTTCATCTGTCCCTTTTGTTCAGGTTTAATCAAAAGCAAAATAGGTGAAGATCAGATATTAAGGGACTACATCACTCACTCTGCAGCAAATTTAAATAAATGCTGAGAGCACCTTTGCTCGGATAATCGTGACCACAACTTTAAACACCAAGCTTATTCATATTTAATACATAATTGATAACTAGAAACGGCTTGTTTTCACTAAACCCAATCTTGTGTTTTAGGTATTACTACTACTAGATTATATACTAACACATTTTTAGGTAAATAAGATTTCTTTATCCCTCCATGACCATTCAAGCCTCTATGCAATTCACAAGGGTAGTTGCATTGCGTAAAACAAAAAGGCAACCAACCTACTCAAGACCAGACAAAAAGATGAAAAGATATAAGGTTGATTAACACCCTCGGAAAATCAAAATCCAACTCCATCATGAACAAGGTGAATCCAATCCAGGACCCCAAGTACAATTACGTCACAATGATCTTCAAAAATACTTAACACTGGAAATCTTTCTGAAATTATAATTAGAAATTGGAATGAATCAAGTTTAGTTTCACCTTTCAAGCAAGCCTACTGCCAACTCAAAGAAAATCAGATTCCTAGTGTGTTAAAGGACTCAATAGTTCAACAATTAAACACCTTTCAAAGCATATGCTAGCATGAATAAACATGCTTCACATGAATTTTTCACATTTTTAATGCACCCATGAATGAAGTTGCATGCGTGAAAGGGATGACATGTTGTAGACATTCCAAGCATATTAAGCATGTCACCAATGAATAAATATGAAAATAAAAAAGCAAACCACAAGAGATTAACATCAGCATTGATGAACACACACATTTGCAATGGTATACCTTCAGCCTTTCTATACAAGGAGTCTAAAGGTACAGAGTATCTATGACAAAACCCCTCAGCAGCCTGAAAAGTAATGAAAAATTAATAACAATAGCCACTCTGAACTCATACAAGGCAAAATGATAGATGATCAATTAGAGGGCAATTGGGGATTAATCCCCATAGTAACATGTATGGCACATATGGCAAAAATTCCAAATGCACATCACACCTAAGTCAGGTCAGGACAAAGTTAGTTGGCTATCTACCACATCCCACAGCCACAGGTACTTCAAAGTCACTAATGCATTCTTCTAATATTGACCTTATATTTTTTTATGAGTGAAAATAATTTTTTCTATCTAAATAATTCTAAAATAAGCGTAACACTTTACCTACAAGATAACTACAGGAATGAAATAACATTTAATCAACGCTATATACTTCCAGGAAGGTAAGACCTTCGTAGGATTTCCTTGCTGGTCAAATGCCTTCGAAACTGGAGGTCCTCGAACTTCAACCTCATTCTCCAATTGCTTTGAGCATAGGCTCTCAACATAAACCTGCAAAACAGAATACTATCAACGCAAGAGAATATGACGGGAAGAGAATCCAAAAACATAGGGATGAGCAGGTAATGGAACACAAAATTTTCATATTTGTTCAATGGGCAATTGCTCAAACATAATTACTCACTGCCAGAAATAAGGAGATCCCTCCCACCGGTTACGTAAGTATTATTGTTAAAGTTTGTTATATACTTTGTGTCAAGCACATTGCACTGTCGTGATTGAAACTCAATCATTCGGAGCATTAAAAAAGATTCTATTAATCTTTAATCATCATCCACATCTACAACTCATTTACTTTTCATTCGTGTGTTGCTTCTGTTGGGTTGGGTGGGATGGGGGAAGAGCCATCCACACACTGCAGCAGGCAAGTGCTACAACCTGTGATCCTACCATTAGTGTATCAGCATGCTTTATTTTACTTCATAACGTTATGAGCAACTTTTCTTGGAACTGGTTGCCTGCTAATTGTTTCATCAGATCTCTTCCCATATACTGGCTCCTCTCCCAGCGGCAACGAACATCATCAGATCCTGTTAATATAAACCTGTTGCAACTCTTTTGAGACCTCTTTGTGTTTACCACGTTATAACTTATAAGACATGCGGAATGCTTCTCCTATTGTTCAAACTGCCAAAGGTAATCTTTTTGAGATAAATCCTATTCTCATCATATCCACATTTCCATTTAAATTTTATTAGATCTTCTCATTTTCCCTCCATATCATTTCTAAGCCTTCTTCAACCAGAGATCAACTATGTTGCTTACGAACAGCTCCAAGACACCTCATTCAAGTTTATTCACCAAGCAGAACGTAGAAAGGTCAAACTAGAGTTGGCATGCTTGATTTTGGATAGACGTGACAGTATAACTTAAAGCACCAAAGTACTTCGAACCTTAACTAAAAGCATCCTACAATTCTTTTTCATAGGGGTGTAAGTAACAAAGGTCTTAGGGTGACTGTCAGCTAGCTGATGGACCCCTCATTTCCTACAATCATGGAACCAGCTTTGCAAACGATGTAACACAAAACACTACTCAGGCAGAGTTGCCAAAATTTACTTAGAGAAGGCTCGAAACACCAAGGTTGGTGTTGCATTAATTACTTTTAACATTACAATTGTAGACACTGACCCAAAACATCTCCAGAAAAATAGATCAAGGCGAAATATTTAGTAACCCTAAGATTTTTTATTTTTTATTTTTTTGAATAGGAAATTTAACTTTACCTTAACTTAATATGCGGATGTCGCATTAACACAAGTAATTTGTAAAGAAACTGACCAAAAACAGATCCACAAACGCAAATCAAGAAGATGAAATACTGCCAACTCTTAGGGCTCCCTCAATATCCTGAACGAAGGGATCCTTACTGGCATTTATTGCAAAAAATGTAATTGTTTTGCATTGTTTTTCTGCTTGCTTTCAGTGAACAAGAAGATTTCTTTCCTTTCTACTTTTAAGTTGGTTTTGAGCTCTCTTTCTTCAGCCTTAATTTGGAATCTTTGGATCTGAGAAGGAAGGGAAAGCATGGAAACATCTAAATTAGTATTAGTTCTAAAGCATATTCAAGATTTCCCATCCCAGCTTCTTATTCTTTCGACAGACGTTTTTTATTCCTAAATGGAGCATTAGCTTAGGATTGCTCCTGAGCAACCTCCACTAGGCTTAGCAACCAATTGCAAAACTAGACAAACCTACAAGAGCAATCTGGAACAAAGCTAGCACAATCTGAGACGAGCACAATCCTAGCTTGGCCTCAATTTAGATTTGATGATTATGTGCTCAATCAACCCGAATCCCTTCTCAACTGCACTAGGCTTATTATTAGAACACAAACTAATGCAATAAGACAGGCCAGTTTCCAAGGGATGATGTCAAAACTAGATCCATATAATATAGGTAAATGTGTATGTGTGTCTCTCTGTGTGTGTGACAGAGAGAGAGAGAGAGAGAGAAAGAAAGCAAGCTGTATGACATCTATTGTTTTGGATATAGTCATATTTGACACCATTTTTCAAATGGATTTCAGTTCGTCCAAGTTCCTTATTACCATGTCCAAATATCAGTTTAGCAAGCTCCAATGAACTAAACCATTCTTAAAATGCAGGTGTGGCAAGGTAATATAAATGAAAACAAGAAATCATCAACAAGAGCCAAATATGTAGAGGAAGAAACATACCACTAGCCTGCGTGGTGTGCCAAATGTTAGCACCTCACTGTGGCTCAACCTTTGTTTTACCAACAGCTGTACAACAAGATCTTTAAGCTGCAATGACAAGCACGGGATGGTCAGCAAAAATATTTCGATCACAGCATAAATTAATCAGAGATAGGAAGAACAGAACTCTCGTCAGGAATGCTCTAATCAGACTGGTAAGCGTCAATTTGCGGTTTTACAACCATATCAATTAATTGAGAGAGAGAGAGAGAAGGGAGGTGGAAGAAGCAGATAAACTGGCAAAAGAGCATGTTAGACGAACAGACATATTTGCTTGTATGAAAATAAACTGCAACAGCTTATGATAGGAGTACAAACTTGCTGGCTTGCATTAATAACATCATTTGGTGGCAATTCTTCTGTCCCAATTTCAAGAACAAACAATCTTGGCTCTGCAGGCACCTGCGTGAAGTAAATAACATACAGAAATAACTCAAAAGGAAATCAATGTCTCCTCAACTAGTTGTTTAAGTTCTTTCAAGGTTAAACATAAATTTCCAATGTCGATCAGATAATAGCAAAACAAACTCTTCTTGGTCTAGAGTCTACAATGTTTTCCCATAGGATTGATAACTAGAGAATGTGGAAAAGATTTACAAGTGTAAAGAAGAACGATAACCACACATTTCAGAAGAATATACAAAGTGTAGATGTATTAGTATGACAAAGAGACTCTTGATTGCATTAAAAGAACCAATACATTGAAAGTGAAAGAAATAAGGATATAAGTTGCCCCAAGCAAACCTTTTGCACTGCTACCTCCAAAACGTCTTCTGNTAGATCCATATAATATAGGTAAATGTGTATGTGTGTCTCTCTGTGTGTGTGACAGAGAGAGAGAGAGAGAGAGAAAGAAAGCAAGCTGTATGACATCTATTGTTTTGGATATAGTCATATTTGACACCATTTTTCAAATGGATTTCAGTTCGTCCAAGTTCCTTATTACCATGTCCAAATATCAGTTTAGCAAGCTCCAATGAACTAAACCATTCTTAAAATGCAGGTGTGGCAAGGTAATATAAATGAAAACAAGAAATCATCAACAAGAGCCAAATATGTAGAGGAAGAAACATACCACTAGCCTGCGTGGTGTGCCAAATGTTAGCACCTCACTGTGGCTCAACCTTTGTTTTACCAACAGCTGTACAACAAGATCTTTAAGCTGCAATGACAAGCACGGGATGGTCAGCAAAAATATTTCGATCACAGCATAAATTAATCAGAGATAGGAAGAACAGAACTCTCGTCAGGAATGCTCTAATCAGACTGGTAAGCGTCAATTTGCGGTTTTACAACCATATCAATTAATTGAGAGAGAGAGAGAGAAGGGAGGTGGAAGAAGCAGATAAACTGGCAAAAGAGCATGTTAGACGAACAGACATATTTGCTTGTATGAAAATAAACTGCAACAGCTTATGATAGGAGTACAAACTTGCTGGCTTGCATTAATAACATCATTTGGTGGCAATTCTTCTGTCCCAATTTCAAGAACAAACAATCTTGGCTCTGCAGGCACCTGCGTGAAGTAAATAACATACAGAAATAACTCAAAAGGAAATCAATGTCTCCTCAACTAGTTGTTTAAGTTCTTTCAAGGTTAAACATAAATTTCCAATGTCGATCAGATAATAGCAAAACAAACTCTTCTTGGTCTAGAGTCTACAATGTTTTCCCATAGGATTGATAACTAGAGAATGTGGAAAAGATTTACAAGTGTAAAGAAGAACGATAACCACACATTTCAGAAGAATATACAAAGTGTAGATGTATTAGTATGACAAAGAGACTCTTGATTGCATTAAAAGAACCAATACATTGAAAGTGAAAGAAATAAGGATATAAGTTGCCCCAAGCAAACCTTTTGCACTGCTACCTCCAAAACGTCTTCTGGAATGCCAAGTTGATTGGGTCCAGAAATAATACTCAATGGATGGCCAAGCGACTCCCGTGTATTCAACCAAAGTTGTGCACATTGCCGAGCCAAACTGGAAGAGGAAGAAAAAAGGCAAGCTTAGTCCATGCAATTATGGAACTTCTCCACCATTAAATGGAAAAGAATACTCTTGCACCTCTATTACAAGCCTTGACAAGAGAAAGATATTCCAGTGATGTTCCTACTGAGCAGCATTATATAGAAATGATAGAGAAAACAAGGTAACCTCACCTACGCATCCTACCAAAATAACGGGCACGTTCTGTTACCCCAACAAAGCCTCTAGAGTCTAAGATATTGAAAGCATGGGAAGTCTTCAAAAGCTGATCATACCTAGCACGTTGCAGAGAAAAATGTTAATTAAAATTTAACCAACCAACAGTGTCATGATGTCATACACTAACCTATAGAAGGAAGCAGACATACGCAGGTATTGCAAGGCCTAAACCAAGCAAAGAGCGCGCTTCAGCCTCAAAAAAATCAAAATGCTTTTGGATATGATCAACACTGGCATGCTCCAGATAATATGCACTCATTTCTTTCCTGAAAAAGAAGGAGAAGATTCATTGGTCTTATTAGATAGTAGGCTTAGTAGCAAATTGTGAAGCAGATGGATTGAGGAAGATATATCGGGTTAAAAGACATATTAAAGAGGAGGAGAATTAAGAGATGAAGATAAATGCAAACTCTCCAATTATACAAAATATTAAACATGAAAAAGATAAATGCAGAAAAGAATAAAAATTTGAGTTGTTAACAGACAGTATTCAGGGGAAAAATATATAGAAATGATAGAAAGGCTCATTCAAATACTAATTGGCCTCTTCTAATCATTGTCTCACCAACAAATGAGATGATAGAGAAATGAAACATGCCAACATGAACTATATCACAAAGCAAGTGTCGCAGGCCATGTAGAAAATATACAAAGGTATAACTTGAGATTTAAAAAGTTTTGTAATGCATTGTGAGAAGAATTTGTTTACAAACTAACAGGAGGGTGTGCACATGGACACTAGAAACGCCACTTTTTTGGCCATTTTTGCTTTCTCCTATTGCTCTGCTGCTAAAATCCACTACTTCAATTTTGGTAAGCTAAATGAACATCCAACAAGTCAATTTTTCCAAAGTTTCAAAGGGGTTTAGCAAAGAGATCCTCTATTAATCTAGAAACCCAATGTCATTGGTGAAGATGTTGAAAAGTACACCTTAGAAAGTTACACAATTGAGCAGATACAATTGAAGAAAACCATTAAAAGGCAGTTATACAAAGAGAAATACAGAGAGATTTCTTCCAATTTATGTTGTTGGGGCAAGGAAAGCTATGGTGTGTTTCCTTGATTACAAAAGACATGGACTACTAATGCCTTCCAATAGGTAGGCCACCACATAGTGTACTTGATTTCCTCGCGAAAGAGAAATTCTAGAAACTAATTAAGCAAAGTTTCTAATCCAAATGTTGTACAATTAAAGTCCCACTAATGAATTTGGCAGAAGATAACAGACAAAATAAATTGTTTCAATGCAATTAACTACCCTACATTTGACAACCAATTAATTTTCATCAACATTTTTAGGCATATTTATGGTCATGAAGTCAAAAGAAAATCCACCTACAATAATCACCTCATATGGGTTAATTATCTTATGAGGTTGACGAAAAGCAAGCTCTAAGGTTAAGGCATTTATGGGCATCCAGTTCCTATAATGAATAAATAATAATCTCAACCTCATAGTTCAAGTTTTTCCCCCTTCGCCACAAAACTTGCCTGGAAACTTTTCTTGTGTTAAAACGTCCAATTCAAAACAAATTGACTATGAAAAGGAGAGGTGCACAAAATTGGTATCGTAGTCTGGAACGTTACAAACTACAAAGTACCAAAATGGTATAAGCATCAACAGTCAACACCCTCCTTCCAATGCAACCCACCCGTTAAAGCATCCAACTCAGAGCCAAATGGCAATGAGTAGGAGGCCCACAAGGCTCATATAATAATTTGAGAAGTGTTATTATGGCGATGAGGGACAAGCTCTAACACAAGTACACAACCCTAGCGCACAAGTGGAGAGACAAAATAAATAATCAGACAACAAAACCACAACTAGGTGCACCAATACCACAAACAAGGGAAAAATCAAATACTAAAACACTCAAAATTAACAAGGGAGTCGTTGTCCACCATCTCCTCCAACTCAAATAGGATATCCCCTAGAAGCATGCAACTCAAAATCAATAAGGTAAAAGCATAGAGGTTGGAAGACTCATACCAGTTTGGTATTGTACCTATGTGGGGGAAGCCTTAACACACCCTAAACCTCACCTCACCACACCTCAAAGTTAAAGACACTAGAAAAATATCACAATGAAAGGGTACTAGTTCGGTTTTAACAATGGATATTGATGGGTGAAAGGTGTCGAGGAAGAAATGACCTAAATAGTTTAGACTCTGGAAGGCACCTAGACGAAAAGTGTTTAATCCAGTAATGCCCAAGGCTCAATAATAACGTGCTTCTTTTGGCCTGTCGAGCTGGTTTGTTGGCACATTGTCCAGCTGCTCACCCACAAAGCAAGAGTTGGGCACAAACAATATGCATCTCCATATTGGCGCCCACTAAAAGATCATTATGCACTAAATTTTAATTTCCGAGGTAGTTCTCCATCAACCCAGCAGTGTTTTGCACACTATAAAAGCTAAAAACATGAAATTGTAGACATACTAAACAATGTGATATGAAAAATTTATAGTGTGCAAGAATAAACATGAAAGATTTATTTTTTTCATGCAATAACCAAGGTATAACTGTGATTATCTTCATGAAAAACAGCATTATATAACCGTGTATAATATTCATTGTAAAGGATCAGTAAACAAATAGCTTATTTACTCATTCTCTAAAAAAAGTTCTCCATATGTTATCCCATCAGCATATCGAATTTTCTTGAAGTGATCAACTCCCTGCAAATTAGTTTTGAATTAAGTTCATGCAGGCAAATATAAGAAAAATCAGAAGAGAAAAAAGAGGCAAATGAAGTATATTAATTGACCTGAAGTAACATGAGAATACGTTCAAGACCGTAAGTGATCTCAACAGATATTGGCAGCAATTGAAGGCTTCCGGCCTAGAAAAGGAGGAAAAAAGAAAATTTAAGGAATTGAAATACCCAAAAAAAACAAGCCAAGAAACTCGTGAAATATATAGTGTAAAACAGTGCATTCTGACTTATTCTTAACCAATTTAAGCCCAAATAAGAGAAAGAACCTGCTGGAAGTAGGTGAATTGTGTGATCTCCATCCCATCCATCCAAACTTCCCAGCCCAATCCCCAGGCACCAAGCACCTACTAGTATTTCAAGTCAAGAGAGAAAAAGAAGCTTACAATCTGATGTAATGCATGTACAAATGTAGTTTTGGTGTGGGGGAAAAGTGGTACAGATTTCTGCAGATGGGGCAGGGTAATGTAAAACAACAAAAATAGCTTGATTGCATCCAAGGGATCAGCACCAATATATAAAAGTGTATGTGTGTGAATCTATTTGACCGGTGACAAGATCTTACAGGGCTTTCCCAGTTGTCCTCCACAAATCTTATATCATGTTCATTGACATCAATGCCTGTCAAGAATTAAGCTACAAATTCTCAGCCAATAAAACAATCAGGAAAGATATGCAATAAAATTATGATTATAGGTGGAAAAAGAAAGTACCACACATTTAATGGTCCATGATAATTTGGCATAGAATATGGTTTACTCAGGAAATAAATCAGTAATCTCTAGTTTCTGTTGTACACTTGGAGAAGTAATATGCTAACATACTAAATGAATTTCTACCTGTTGAACTAAATGCTCAATAGAGAATAGTCTAGCATAGCTGAAGGCATATGATAATTACTGATTTAGTTGAACTAAATGCTCAATAAACAATATGTTTCCATTGTATACAATAGTTATATATAGTCTAGCATGTGGTCATCTAACATATGAGATTGTATAACATGGAAATATGTACTTATTTCAGCTGAATGATCTTAAAGTTTTACTTCACCTTATTGGGCAAAAAAAGCAGAAGACATATAAAGGCTTGACTAAAGAAGAGGGATTCAAAAGACATTTCCAAACAATGGGATAAGGCTCAGTTAAGTTGAGCATACAAGCTTTTAACACTTTATGCATAAGAAATGGGAGATTATTAACTACTAAGATCAACTAGTTATAAATTTCATATCAAAGAATTGACAAAATAGTTACTTATCATAAAGTAATGATTTTCCTATAGTATATTTTATTTAATAAATACCTAATCAACATGAAAACACATTCATTTGTAGTGTAAGCTGGATGTGTGTGCGCCCTTTGTTGTCAAAATTAACCATGTCTATGTATCCATATTTTTTAAACCACAAGTATTCTTTTCTTAGGGGAAAAAGCCTTGAAAATAATATCAAGCCAATCTGTCAATAACAACTAACCCCATCAACATACTTCACTAGGGTCTGTATTAGCCAAACATAGGTGGAAACCTTTTAAAGCCTCTCTATCCATCAAGCTGACCTCTACCAGAAGGCATCATTTAGCTCAAGATCTTCATCCAATGCCTGAAAAATAATTATCTGGCCCCATCTTCATAATTATTCGGACCCACATAACTACAGCAGTAAACAAGACTGAAGATTATTTCCAAGAAGTACCTGAACCTTACTTCTCCATTCAACTCCTTTAAGAAGTCATATTTGCATTAATTTGTATGTCGTCGCATCACTATTTCCTTGTTCATTAAGCATGATGACCAAACTATTTGGTATCAACTATGGAAACCCATTTCACCCTTCTGCTTCATCTCAGTCATTGTTTGCGTTAACACGAATGGCATTATTTAATTTTCCCTTACATTTGACCTACCACAATCTCTATTACCCTTTCACCTAGCCTCATACCACGTTAATCATTAACAGCAGACTCATATAGGTTTCAGCAAGAAATAGACACTAGTTATCAACCAACCCCACTCTCCCAGTATGCTCAAAAGGGAAGCATAAGTACTGGAAAAATAAATGTGACCTCCATATATACTTGGGCAATGTTGTTGCCTACACAACTAGACTCCATAAAACAGTGGAGCATATAATAGGATTCAAGAGAAACTCAATAACAATGAATTTATTCTCTCCCTTTCTCAAACAATTCTTCCCTGGGCACACATTTGATAGTAGGCGGTTGAGTGTAAATCCCACAAATCGTGTCCTAGACAGGCATACACAAATTTGAAGACTCCATAGAATATAACATGGCATATAATAAGCATAAATCAGCATGAGAAACGTGTCACTGCAAACTACCAGATGGAAAACTTCTCCAGAAAAATGTTTGCATTGAAATATTAATTATAATTCATAAAAGGTCCAGGGACAACCTAAGGCGGAAAGACTCCGTATAAACAGATCTTGTGAATTTCCAGGATCAGGCTTCAATATAACCTGAGATGAAATTAACACAGAAATATTAAACTCAAATCAAAATTAGTCAAAGGCCAAAATGAATTTTAGAGCGCTTTCAGAAGGTTCCATAAATGAATCACGATTTTACCATCTGATCAATCAAAGAAACCACAATAAACCTGAAATTGAGTGTGGCGTTGAAGCCTATTAGGGTTTTCACCATAACGGCTATCATCAGGGCGGATACTGGGCTCCACGTACCTACCACCAGAAACTATCACATCAGCATTCACATTACTGACTAAAAGAGGGCTCGTGTACTTGAAAAAATCAGAAATGTAAGATTATCAAGAAAACCTCACAACTCTAGAGAAGTGCATAGCAATCAAAATAAAATTGCAACTTCCACACTACTAGGAGAAAAGATGCAACATGAGCCAATGCTCAAGCAAGCTCCATCTAAGAACCAAATCTACAAAAATACTCAAACTTAGAAAAACAGAGCACAAACTAGTGTAACAGTCATGATCTAAAGATTGAGATATACGTTACTTAAGAAATTACGTTTGAAAGAACAGTCCAATTTCAAGCTTTGTACTTTTAGTTTAAAGCATTTGCCATTTCCCAGGTGCATCTAAATTATTATTTCAATCAATACGTGTCATACTTTGATTGCACAATATTTATAAATATCAATTAACAAATTAACTTCTAAACATTAAACAAGAACACAAATAAATATATAATAAAATATCATGTGATTATAATACAATAAAATTAACACTATAAAATCAAAAGCACTGGCATTATTTAACACAATAAAAATCAGTGACCAATAGGCTACTACTAGAAACTACTCTTAAATTATGGTCAGTAGTCTGTCGCATCCTAGGAACCATTTTTCAATTTGGACAGTAATCTTCAATCTACTAGGAACCATTTATAACTGTGGGCAGTAGCCTTTTATCTACTAGGAACCATTTATAATGGTGGTCAGTAGTCTTTGATCCACTAGGAACCACTGTCTTGAATTGCATCGAGTTTTGAACGTTTTTTCACTATACTTGGGCATATAAATATACCCCCCCAAATTTCAAGAGTTTTAAGAGTATTCAAAAAAAAAATAGATAAACATAATTTTGCCCAAAAAGATTAATTTTTCTTTCAACATCAAGTTCACATACTAAACATTTGCATTAACCCCCACATTAACAATCTATTTTCGTTAATAAACAACAATTGCTACTAATAAATTCAATAGGTAATTATATGGCACCTATAATAAGATGGTCACGTCTCAAGGTAATAAATATTTGACAACATATTTAGTACCAATGAATAGAAAATCAAATTATCACATACAATGAAATTTCAATTTCAGGTATACCAATTAATCATATAGTTAAATAGCTTCTCAGCTAAATAAAAGATTAAAGTTTCAACCTCCTGATATCACCACATCCAAAATAAGGAGGCTAGACCAATAAAGAAGACTAAATGAACATGTTTGAAAATCTTGTTTGGTGCATATTTAATTTGACATGTCACACTCACCACTCAAATTTCCGAAAATCTTACCACCATCAGGACTGCAAACTAGCTATTTGAAAGAACCAGGCACAAATGTAGTTTTACCTTGGTAAATATGTTAGATTACATACAACTACGAAGATTATTCAATGACTTGAGACGTGCCACAAATATAAATTTAAAACACTTATGGTTCATATAAGACTATTTGCGTATGCTTGTGTCTAATGGTACCTAGAACGTACACATCACCTGTTTAGCAAGAAACATAAGAAATAAGAGCAGAATATGTTATGGTCTGCTGTTCTCAAAAATATTTTTGTCCACATGGAGTTAATGAGTAATGACAGAGTTAGATACACATTTTAGCATTTCATGAGATATCACTCTTAGTTTCCCCAATATAACACCAAAGTTTCCATCTGATAGATTCAATTTATGCTTCCATGGATACAGATTCACTTCATGTTTCTTTTGTTATGGAATCCAAAATATGAACAACAACAATACCATCAAAGTTTTTTCTATAAAACCTGCTGGTAATTTCCACATAGCCAATCATATCCACATCTACAAAACATGAACTTCTAAAATGTCAAAAGCATACTTACGCTACATTCCACGGTTCTGGACCAAGAACCCTTAAGAAGGTAAGAGGATTCATAGTCCCAGCTCCAACCTGGTCACGTGAGGGAGGGGGTTGACAAACAAATAAATTAAGATAAGACTAAATGTACTATATTAAAAAACTTTAAAAAACCAATACTACCAATTACCTCAGTGTTGCTGCACTGCATTATAGAACATCCAACAGAAGCCCAATATTCCTACAGAATCCAAAAGGGACAGGGGCGAGTAACATACAATAGAAAGCAATTGAGAAAAAATACATGGAAAATAATTCTAAACAAAAGAAAGATAGTTTGACCACAGAATATCATCCTCTAAATCACACAGAAAGCCTAAGCCAAAGAAAACCATCAAGTTTGGTAATCTAACCCACAGTAGTTAACATATTTGGAACAAACATTTGTCAACCTATTCATGAACTTCTCATAATTACTATATCCACTAATTAGCCCCAACAGCACTGTCATTCATAAAAGTCTTCCGCAATCTTTATTTCCTTTTCTATACACTTCCAACACATCAAAACTCTTTTGACCACTGACCACAGCAACACTATTTTTTTTGGTAATTATATTCAAAGTATTCTTATTTTCTCTCACTTATTCTGTCATTAGCCTAAGTAAGTGTGTCAACTCACCTCTGGTTTTCTTCAAAAAAAAACCCACAACACATAGCTCTCCCCCCTTAATTTTCCAAGCAAAAACACACTTTCATCTACATCACAAACTCATGGCTAAGGTGAGACTAAGTCAAAACTATTAAAATACAAAAGCTTCTGACTATTACCAAAAGTTCTCTCACAATTTCACACTATGCTAGAAATTTTTATTGGCCACACTATTAAAAACTTTGACTTCTCCTAATTTTCCATCCACAAATTCATATTTTAAAATTTTGTATCATCTGTAACTTCCAGAATATGGTTACCTGGTTTTCCTAAGATTTACACCAAATTCTACAATATCAAAAGTCACATGAGTATGATATCTGACAGCTGCAAGACTTCAAGCTCGACTAAACCATGACACTACTTTACAGCGTTATGGAAGAGACTGAAAAAGTTCAAATTCAACTAAATAGTGATGGCCGCCTACCAGACAACAAACCAAAAACCACCACAATGACACTTGAGCAATGTACTTTCACTATTAAATTTACGTCCAGTCTAAACAAAATACAAATTTCAAACAAAGACCACCAACAATGTCCAAATAAGACATTATAAAGAAAAATCTCTACTCTCATCCTCACACAACGGCAGGAATGCACACTTATTTTCCATTAGGAGGCCAAGAAAACTGAAGAGAAAGTAATGCAAAATTAAATCAACGAAGGTTATGCTTCAAAGAAGGAGCGACATATTGTTTATTCTTTCTTGGCTGCCAAGTAAACAAAATCCCATCCAATTTCAAACAAAGACTGCCTACAATGCCCTATCAAACCACTGTAAAGAATAATCTTTACCCGCGTCCTCTCACAAAGACAGGACTGAAGATAAAAGCAAAGAAACATAAATCTTCAAAGCTTACGCGTCATTATAAGATTGCATTGACCACTTTCTTGGGTTCCAAAGTAAAAGAATACCCAATATCCAAAATTTTAACTTCTGTTCTTTTTCCTACATTGTCTCAGCTATTGTCTGTTTGGTTTCCCACAAACCCCCAAAATAACGACAGTAAAGGCTGATTTGATGCCTTAAACTGAAAGACCCAAAAACTCACAAATCACTATAATGGCTTCATTGGACTGCAAATTCATATAATCTATGATTTCGATTACCACTTAATCTTACTTTCCTTCCTGCATATACCTTGGAACCAAACCGCCATTGACGAATTCGAAAACAGAAAGAAATAAAATATATTAAAACCTGCAGGCGCTGGATGGCTTGTTGAAAACTCGGGACAGAGTCTTTCTTTGGTGGCGGTGGCTCTGAAACCGACTCTGTGAACGAATTCTGAGATTGTGAAGACGTTTTTATAGCTGAGATTGTGGTTCTGGAGAAATACCGCTTGCCAACGGTGATAGGGTTCGGTCTTGAGGTGAGGAAGAAGGAGAAGTGAGGTTTGAGTAGTGAAGTGAGTGAGGGAAGAGAGGGAAGAGAGGGAAGAGAGAGAATCGCCATGGCCGTGGAGCCTTGGCGCCGAGGGTTATCCGAATAGGGTTAAAGACTGAAGGCAGTGAACTATAAATAAAAAATGAATGAAAATTAAAAAAACTACCGTTATAATAACGTTAGTTTATTACTTTTATTTTTAGGGTTAATTACACAATATCCCCTCTAAATTTATAATAAATTGCAATCAACTCCTTTTGGTTTGAATTTTAACGAATTACCCACTTAAAGTTTTTACATTTTAAAACTAACTCAACATTTTAGTTTAGACAATGAAAATTAAGTAACATGATCTCAGATTTCTTGAAAATAAAAAATTACCTAAATTCAAAATTCTGTCCTCACATCAAAAAACTTCCCAAAACAAAAATAATGTGATGGATGATCTTGTCTCTTCGTAGAATTTGAGAGCTTATGATTTGCAAATGAATATTTTTTTATCATTTTTCACAGTTAAAATAAAAGGCTTGACTTAATTTATAAATATTCAAACTTATAAAAGATAAATTGTTAAAACTAAAATTAGAGGAAGTTTATTGAATGTGATCTAAACTTTAAAGGGATATTTTATTTTATAATTAACCCTTATTTTTAATCGTTTGAATAACGACGATACTTTATTATTTTTATTTTTAACCTATTGATTTTGTTTGACTTTTTAAAAATCAAATGCATACATAATAAAAATCCATCAAAATTTGTAGGGTAAATTACATCTGGACCCTTAAAATTTATTACTTAATCATGTAGACCCTCTCAAGTATAAAAAATAACAATTACACNTGAAGACGTTTTTATAGCTGAGATTGTGGTTCTGGAGAAATACCGCTTGCCAACGGTGATAGGGTTCGGTCTTGAGGTGAGGAAGAAGGAGAAGTGAGGTTTGAGTAGTGAAGTGAGTGAGGGAAGAGAGGGAAGAGAGAGAATCGCCATGGCCGTGGAGCCTTGGCGCCGAGGGTTATCCGAATAGGGTTAAAGACTGAAGGCAGTGAACTATAAATAAAAAATGAATGAAAATTAAAAAAACTACCGTTATAATAACGTTAGTTTATTACTTTTATTTTTAGGGTTAATTACACAATATCCCCTCTAAATTTATAATAAATTGCAATCAACTCCTTTTGGTTTGAATTTTAACGAATTACCCACTTAAAGTTTTTACATTTTAAAACTAACTCAACATTTTAGTTTAGACAATGAAAATTAAGTAACATGATCTCAGATTTCTTGAAAATAAAAAATTACCTAAATTCAAAATTCTGTCCTCACATCAAAAAACTTCCCAAAACAAAAATAATGTGATGGATGATCTTGTCTCTTCGTAGAATTTGAGAGCTTATGATTTGCAAATGAATATTTTTTTATCATTTTTCACAGTTAAAATAAAAGGCTTGACTTAATTTATAAATATTCAAACTTATAAAAGATAAATTGTTAAAACTAAAATTAGAGGAAGTTTATTGAATGTGATCTAAACTTTAAAGGGATATTTTATTTTATAATTAACCCTTATTTTTAATCGTTTGAATAACGACGATACTTTATTATTTTTATTTTTAACCTATTGATTTTGTTTGACTTTTTAAAAATCAAATGCATACATAATAAAAATCCATCAAAATTTGTAGGGTAAATTACATCTGGACCCTTAAAATTTAATACTTAATCATGTAGACCCTCTCAAGTATAAAAAATAACAATTACACCCCTTAAGATTTAGATTGTTGTAACATATTGACCCCCTAATGTTAAATTCCGTTTGATAAGCCATCCATTATGATGATGTCATTGAATTTCAAAATTAAAATTTCCATTTTACCCGTGCAAAATCCATCATCACCAAACCCCAATAGGTTTAAAATTTTCATCAAAACCCATGCCTTTCCACCATCCCCAAAACACGCCAAACCTACCCAAACCCTCACTACTCTCATCCATTGCAAATTTACACCCACTGTCATCTCTCCCCATCATACACAAAGCTTCAGGTCCACCGCCATAAACCCCAAAATATCATAGCCCAAGTATCACCACAACCATCACCCACCCCCATAAATAAATGTATACCCACCTCAAAACCGTACAACCCTTCCCCACTACAAATTCCACTCACCACGGTCTCTCCCAACTTTACTTTCAACCCGAAATCACCCCAACAAATCACTGTTCATAGCAACAATTTGGGTGAAAAATCGATTCTGAGAGCGAGGGCGGAGCTGGACATCTTCTAGAGTGGAGGGAATAGTTAAAATTTTAAATGTTCATAAAAATATAATTTTATTAATAGAACGTCAATTAAATGTGTTACTCGTATACATAAACAATATAAACAAAAAAATATTTGCTATAAATTTATCTATAAGACATAACAAAAAAAAAATTGAACAAATAAATTGAGCTCAATCATATGTTGAGTTGATACATGGGACAATTTAAATTGTCGAGTATCCAATAAACATTCACAGTTGTTTTCGACAAGCTTTCATATTTTGAAAGCGTTTATGATAATTTCATTATCAATAGTACTTCAAATTTATTTCTCAATTGTTCATACATTGATCTTTCATTCAATTATATAATTAATTTTAAAAAATATTAATTTGTTCGGTCATAAACTTAGTATTCACTTGTGAATTTTAAAAAATANGACGATACTTTATTATTTTTATTTTTAACCTATTGATTTTGTTTGACTTTTTAAAAGTCAAATGCATACATAATAAAAATCCATCAAAATTTGTAGGGTAAATTACATCTGGACCCTTAAAATTTATTACTTAATCATGTAGACCCTCTCAAGTATAAAAAATAACAATTACACACNAACTAAACATAGGTGTAAGAATTACTTAATCTATCACAATAAAATTATTCAAAATATCAAATTAAAATAATTTAATATAACACATAATGAAGGACTATACACCTCATTTCCAATTCCAGATGTAAGAATAAAATAAAAGATGATTACAAGTTTCAATTATAATTTAATATCAAAATAAAACATAAGAAATAACTNCGGAGCTGGACATCTTCTAGAGTGGAGGGAATAGTTAAAATTTTAAATGTTCATAAAAATATAATTTTATTAATAGAACGTCAATTAAATGTGTTACTCGTATACATAAACAATATAAACAAAAAAAAGTCAACAAAAAAATATTTGCTATAAATTTATCTATAAGACATAACAAAAAAAAATTTGAACAAATAAATTGAGCTCAATCATATATTGAGTTGATACATGGGACAATTTAAATTGTCGAGTATCCAATAAATATTTACAGTTGTTTTCGACAAGCTTTCATATTTTGAAAGCGTTTATGATAATTTCATTATCAATGGTACTTAAAATTTATTTATCAATTGTTCATACATTGATCTTTCATTCAATTATATAATTGATTTAAAAAAAATATTAATTTGTTCGGTCATAAACTTAGTATTCATTTGTGAATTTTAACAAACANTTGGCTACAATTGAGCTGTAAATTTTGGTTATGGGTTATGCGATTGGGCAGAAATTGATCAAGTGGGTTTATTTGATGAGTTATTTCAACGATGTTTGTAGATGAATTGTTTGCTCTCTCTCTCTCTCTATAAATATATAGATGCACATACATATATGTGTATAGTTTCGATAAGACTCCTCTATATTTATCTATCAATCTACTNAAATTTTGGTTATGGGTTATGCGATTGGGCAGAAATTGATCAAGTGGGTTTATTTGGTGAGTTATTTCAACGATGTTTGTAGATGAATTGTTTGCTCTCTCAATCTCTCTATAAATATATAGATGCACATACATATATGTGTATAGTTTCGATAAGACTCCTCTATAGTTATCTATCAATCTATTNAACTAAACATAGGTGTAAGAATTACTTAATCTATCACAATAAAATTATTCAAAATACCAAATTAAAATAATTTAATATAACACATAATGAAGGACTATACACCTCAATTCAAATTCCAGATGTAAGAATAAAATAAAAGATGATTACAAGTTTCAATTATAATTTAACATCAAAATAAAACATAAGAAAGAATTGCAAACTTCAATATCAATTAAATATATAAAAAATAAACTACAGAAGGGAGTTACAAGTCCTAATTTTCTTTCAATATAAAAAAATAAATATAGAACTATAAATCTCAATTTTAATTCAATACATAAAACAATAAAACACAAAGAGAACTACAAACCCTACAATTTTTTAAAAACTTTTAAGTGGGGCAAATATCTAATAAATTATATCTCTTTCATTTTTCATTATTTTTTTTTATTAATCAAACGGACCTTTACTTTTATTTTATTTTTTATTATTTTTATTTTCTATAATTTTTTTATTCCAAACCAAACAAATCTACAGAGAATGTTAATAGAGTTGATAAGAAATCGGAGAAAGCCAAAACCCAGAGCGCCTTCGGAACGCTGACTCTTTTTGTCTCTGCAGTTTGTGGAGGAAACAATCAAAAGGGCATGGCCGAAGAAGTGCTTATCGAAGTCGAAGCTGTTCAAGCTGTTTACGGGGACGATTGTCTCGTTCTCGATAAATACCCTCCTCACCTTCATGTCCACATCAAGCCCCGAACCGCCGATGTCTCATCTCAGCAGGTCCCTACTCTCTCTCTCTCTCTCTCTTTCTATATATATAATCGATAAGACTCCTTTCTATCTATCCATCAATCTGTTATATATGCACATACACCTACATGCGTACTCGCATTTAGATGTACTACCTTTTGAACTCATAAGTAATTGATATGGATTCTTTGAAATCGCCACGGTTAGAAATTGGCTACAATTGAGCTGTAAATTTTGGTTATGGGTTATGCGATTGGGCAGAAATTGATCAAGTGGGTTTATTTGGTGAGTTATTTCAACGATGTTTGTAGATGAATTGTTTGCTCTCTCAATCTCTCTATAAATATATAGATGCACATACATATATGTGTATAGTTTCGATAAGACTCCTCTATAGTTATCTATCAATCTATTATATACGCACTTGCACATACATGCGTACTTGTTCATACATATGATACCGTTGAATTAATAAGCAATTGAAGTGGACGCTTTGAAATTGCTACCGGTTAGAACTGGCTACAATTGGGTTGTAAATTTTGGTTATGGGATATGCGATTGTGTACAAATTGATCAAGTGAGCTTACTCTGTGAGTTATTTCTAGGATGTTTGTAGATGAATTTCGTTTTGTATTGAGTTAANTTAATAAGCAATTGAAGTGGACGCTTTGAAATTGCTACCGGTTAGAACTGGCTACATTTGGGTTGTAAATTTTGGTTATGGGATATGCCATCGGGTACAAATTGATCAAGTGAGCTTACTCTGTGAGTTATTTCTAGGATGTTTCTAGATGAATTTCGTTTTGTATTGAGTTAAGAAATTAAAGTATTGTGTCAATCAGTATTGAAGTCAGAACATGACTCCAATTTCCACGTGGTAGAGTTCAGGAAGTTGTTTTTCACTGATTTTTTTTTGGCAGATGGTATTAAATATTGGGCTGTAAATGGGCCAATATGCACCGTGTTGATGGTTCAAATGTTTTCTGTCATGTAACAAGGCATTGCTTGGGCTCAGCTCATTTATTTGAACAAGCTCTAAAACTGGGCTCAAGCTTGGTCTATTATATGAATAAACAAGCTTGAATGAACTTCATTATGAGCTGATCCCGAGCTGTTCATGATCCATTGGTTCATTTGCCGCCCTAGATCTAGTGGGATGAGGGTGAGGTATAAATTGTTTTATGCTAGAAATGGGTTAGCTATAAATATCATGACTTGCTTAGTTGTAAGTTGTAACAACTTTAAAGACTCCATTGAAGGGGAATATGGGCATACTAACTTTTTTTGTTACTGTATTGTAGATCCCATGAGTTGTGATTTCTATCACAAGTAATGAGTTGGGAAAAAGCAACTTTGTCATTTTTTAAGTATAGGTTTACCACTTCATTCATAGGTAATGATAATATAATTAGCACCACAGAACTGAGATTGATAAAAGTATTTGAGCAGTTTTTTTCTAATTATTCACCATGTCGGTGTCGCTGTTGCACCCTGCCAAGAGGAAAAACTCTAGGGATCCTTTCAATTTCATCTGATTGTACTTACTTTTGTACTTATCGGTATGATGCATGAGCATATATTCAAGAAGTATCTTTTGTTAAATTTTATTGCATGTTAAACTACATTTTTTTTTTGTGTTGCCATTTTGTTGTCAGTTGAGAATGACATTTATACGATGGTTCTTGTTTGCAGTTTGTGGAAGCGGTGATAGGTATACGAGCAGTTTCTGAGGTATTTTATATCAATAGTTGCATGTTCTACTTAACTAACCCATGATTTAAGTTGGCACAGGGCATGCATTATACTGCTTGTGCTTTTAAACATATTTATTTTTATCATACATTGAGCTTAGAACTGGTAAGTTGGTGGATTGACTCAGCTTTGTGCACATTGCAATTAGACTAGAATGTGAGCTGTGGGTCTGTTTATTAATTTGACAAAGAATGTTTATTAATTTGTCAATTTTCTTTNACGAGCAGTTTCTGAGGTATTTTATATCAATAGTTGCATGTTCTACTTAACTAACCCATGATTTAAGTTGGCACAGGGCATGCATTATACTGCTTGTGCTTTTAAACATATTTATTTTTATCATACATTGAGCTTAGAACTGGTAAGTTGGTGGATTGACTCAGCTTTGTGCACATTGCAATTAGACTAGAATGTGAGCAGCGGGTCTGTTTATTAATTTGACAAAGAATGTTTATTAATTTGTCAATTTTCTCTGTCTTAATTAAAGTGTAGAATTTCTTAGCAAGATACACAGTTTTACTCACAAGATTTTGAAAGCAAGAGTTCAATAACAAACAGAAACAACCTTTGTATGCTTGTACGTAAGATTGTTTACCTTGCAGTGGTAATGCTTCATGAGTGGTAGTGTAATGCTTGTTTGTTCGAGAAATTAATCAACTTGTACAAAATAATACACAAATGCTACAATGTTTTGTCTTTGGTTTGAACTACTTGTTCACCATTGACAACCTTTTGTAATTTTTATTCTTTATGATTAATGATATTATTGAAACACACACACACACACAAAAGCTACAATAGGTTGTGTTTGAATGTTTCAGTCACACAATGAAAATAAGGAATGCTTGTCCAGTTGTCTTACATTAGGCCATGGCTTGGTAAATTGCATAATTCATGTTATTTGAAGGGAGATAAGAATAGCAGGAGCTTCCATCTTGTGGATTGTAGTGGGCTTTGGGTGCAGATTTGCAACAATGTACTGATGAAAGATAGTGATCTAATATGTTGTACTCTCAGAACTTCCTCCATTTTTTAACTCTTTCTTCACTTTTCACTCTTACAAATAAACGGTTGATTTCCACATAGAGTAGGAGTGAAGAGAAGTGAATGGTAAAGCAACAGTCTAAAAAAATTAAGGCATTAAGGATCAACTTTTAACTGATCCCCAATGTTTGTCTTCTTGATTGAGACCATAAGTCAACTGAAATCAAGTAAGGATTTGTTTTGGTCGGAATAGCTAACTAGTAAATCCATTACTTTTCTTTTGTTTGTTTTGTCCATTTGGAATATTCATAGGGAATTTGATTAACATAATGGAGAGTAGGATCATTTGGTGATTGAAGAGCAAATGGATGTTTCCACCCTTCTAGACAAGTTGGGTTTGTATGGGAGGAGGAGATGGTGGATGAGAGATAACCAGAAAACTTCAAAATGAATTAAGATTAAAAACCATGATAATTTGTGCCAAAAACAAACAAAAAGGTTGACAACTGTAAATTTAATGGATCAGTAAACAGCTTTTTGAAAGTTGATAGCTAAATGCCAAAGTAAGTTGGATATCTTTCATAGAAGTTTCATCTCCCTCTGCCTTATGGCTCTGCTGGTCATCATCTTTCATCATTTGCCAAGCACTGTTAGTTGTAGATCTTGTTATTGTAGCACTAGCAAATCTGTTGTATGACCTGTCTGTTTCACACTGACCTGTTATTTGTTTGTTGCAGTATCCTGATGAACCACCTCATATAAGTATCATTGATTCCAAGGGTCTTGATGAACAAAGGCAAAAGCATCTGGTAACTGGTATTCACAACAGGGCTTGTGAACTGTCCTCTTGTGCAATGCTTGTTGCGCTTTGTGAGGTAATATTGTACTCTTCATCTAGCTATCTGCTTGGTTTGTGTAAACAGGCAGCAATANGCAAATCTGTTGTATGACCTGTCTGTTTCACACTGACCTGTTATTTGTTTGTTGCAGTATCCTGATGAACCACCTCATATAAGTATCATTGATTCCAAGGGTCTTGATGAACAAAGGCAAAAGCATCTGGTAACTGGTATTCACAACAGGGCTTCTGAACTGTCCTCTTGTGCAATGCTTGTTGCGCTTTGTGAGGTAATATTGTACTCTTCATCTAGCTATCTGCTTGGCTTGTGTAAACAGGCAGCAACATTTTACTGAATTAGTTATTCTCTATTTGTTTAGGGGTGCTCTTATTATAGTTGAGGAGAAAGTAGACTGTCGGATAACAAATTTAATGCATAAAAGACGCTTTATCTTTGATTGCTGCTTAAATGAGAGTTGTCTTAAGTCTTCTATATCTTTTCTTTTATGAGTAAAGAAACTTTAGATATATGAGTAAGGTGAAAAATTTCTTGATATATACCGATAGTAAACTGGAAGTTATATAAAATAATTGCCATTAGATTAGCAATATTTCATGGTAAAGAGTGCTAGGCAGTTAAGAACAGAATAGGGAAGCTATCCATTTATGCTTACACTGTTCTTCTTTGTCCTAATCTTTCTGCTTACACTGTTGTTCTTTGGACTAAGTTTTCCTTGTTGAGTGTTTGAATATTTTATCCATAGATCTTTTCCTCCCTTCTTTATGTTATCCTGCACCTGGCCTTCAAATTGTATGCACAATAAAGCAGAATATGAGCTGATATGCACCATAAAAGCTGTACAATTTTATTGAAAAGATTTACACTTAATATGCATAATTTTTTTTATCAACACAAGGTTCTGTCCAACTACATATTGTCCCAAATCATAAAAGCGCTATTAGTATGATAACCCTCTGCGATTACCCTCTTGTGTTAGGACTTTGCAGTTTGAGGTAGCAATTTGTTGTTTTCATTTTGTTCCACTAAACTGTCATTAAGTCATGCAGTTTTTGTTTTAAAAATCAAAGAACTTGTTGGGGGCTTCAATTATTTAAAAAAAAATAGAGAAAAAAAGGACTATCTTAGGTGCTTCTATTTTCTTTCAAAGCAGTCCATATTCCATAACATTTTATGTTATATTGTTGTCCCACCTAATTTCCATGTTAGTAGTAAGGCTAATTGTGTAGATTGTGGCTAAGTTCTCCAATTTCACATTTGACATCACTCAGACACATTCCCTGTTTTTTTGGTTTAGGAATTTCGTTCTATGTTCATGGGTTTGGTTTTGTAATACTTCACCCCTTATGTTCCTATATAACAAATAAATCTCACATGGTCTTTAACTAAAGTATGGCCCTTATAACTTTTGGTTAAGTTGGCATTTAAAAATTTTGAGACAAAGTCATATTTCAATATGAAGGGACAAATATGCCCTTGTTACGNAATCTCACATGGTCTTTAACTAAAGTATGGCCCTTATAACTTTTGGTTAAGTTGGCCTTTAAAAATTTCGAGACAAAATCATATTTCAATATGAAGGGACAAATATGCCCTTGTTAAGAAAAGATAACAATACTGGTATATTCTTCATCCTTTTCTTCTTTTATGAAAGAAATTTTGATTTTCACCATATTCATGGAACCCTCATTCTGATAAAATCATAAAACTCGCCACCCACACCTACTGTGCAACCCACCCTCACATGGCCCCGCTTGGAACCACACCCCAACACCTACTGAATCATCACCACTGCCATCACCAATTCACCATACTGTCATGATTTTCAAATTTTCAATTCTATCACATCAAAATCTAATTTTGATGTTCTTCTTCTGTATCCCCCACCCCCTTCCTAAGACCAGTGCAGGCCCTGCATCCATCACCCCATCTCTATCCTTATTCTCTTGCCTATCGAAAATTCTTTTCTTTCTCCACAATTGATAAATACATCTATATGTGCATTTAAACATGTCGGTGCTCCTCACTCTCTCTCTTCCCCCATATTCGAAGCCTTAGGATTTTTTAGGGCTCACATCTTTGAAATCTGGATTTTCTTTGTCTCTCACAGAATTGGGCATGTGAATGAGTTTTGATTGAGGTGTATGAAATTGAGGTAATCTTTGTTGAATTTGCATTGAATTCTTATTGAATTGGCATTGAGTTTTAGCCATCATGGTTGGGCAGTGGGTTGTGGTGGTTGGAGAGTGGAGAGGTTTTGGCCTTGTGGTGGTATTGTGGGTGAAGGNGGTAATCTTTGTTGAATTTGCATTGAATTCTTATTGAATTGGCATTGAGTTTTAGCCATCATGGTTGGGCAGTGGGTTGTGGTGGTTGGAGAGTGGAGAGGTTTTGGCCTTGTGGTGGTCATGGGGCAGTGGGTAGTAGTTGTGGTTGTTGGGCAGTAGGTGGTGGAAGAAGAAGAAAAAGATTGAGGAAGAAGAAAAACCAGTGATAGATATATCATGAGTTTCATGGTGGCCCAGAATTATATGATGTTCATGTGGTTTTATGCTATGGGGCCAAACCACATGGAGTAAATTGGAATTTATCTTTGTTTTTTGGGGTAATTCAATCAGCATCTTTTAGAGTATCCAAAAATATGCCACATATGAAACTTAATTATCTCTTCATGTTTTACATTTTTCAAAACTTTGCAAGATATTGATTGTTAAATCTATTAATAGGAAGCAGTGGAGAGGCTCTCTAGTATGAATCACCCTGATGGAAATTGTCCATTGTGTTTATATCCTTTGGTTGAAGAGGATGCTGACAATAAATTGCCATTTATGAAGCTGATGTCTTGTTTCCATTGTTTTCATTGGTAAATATCAGTTCTAGGTCTTCTTCTTCTTCTTTTTTTTTTTTTTTTTTGTGATCATTGAATTTTTAATTCCATCAAAATACAGGTGTCAAATTCATTTCTCTCAGTTATTNTTTTTTTTTTTTTTTTTTTTTTTTTTTTTTTTTTTTTTGTGATCATTGAATTTTTAATTCCATCAAAATACGGGTGTCAAATTCATTTCTCTCAGTTATTTATTTATTTTTCAAATTATGGCAGTGAGTGCATCATCAGGTGGTGGAATTGGCTCCAGACGCTAAAGGAAACTGACTCTACCAATATATCTGGTGCTACCCTACATGTCTCTGGAGAGATGGAAAATCAAAAAGGTTAAGTGTGGTCATAGTGCATGGTCTGGAAGTAGTTTGTGCAAAAAGTCAAGGGATAATTGATCTTCAAAATTACCATTGAAAGCATTAATTTTGTTTTAAGAGTACTGGTTGTTGTAAATGACTGGTATGTCTGTTTGTACAGGCATGCATGGTGCGACACAAGAAAGTGTGGGAACATGCCCAGTTTGTCGAAAGGTTTTTCATGCGAAGGATATAGACCATGTGCTTGCCTTGGTTGGGACTCATTCTCAGTTGGTATGTCAGCAAACTTATCACTAATATTGGCTAAAGTCTTTATGTTTCATGCTGAATCAATCTATTTTCGACATGCCTTTTCTGTGAAGACTCTACTTTGAGAAACATTGTTTACTTTACATATACTGCTAAAATTCTTGAAAGGCTGCCTTCTAAAATGGTTCATGTGGAGATGTCCATATGCCGCGAGAGTAATTGTTGTAATCGTATGCTACTTGATATTATTTCTCAATTGATTTAGGAACCAAATTAATTAGAGTAGGATTATGGCTTTTGATGAGTTTACTTGAGAGTTGTGTCCTCTAAACAATGGTCAAAGTTAGAAAGCTCAATTTGGTTAAACCAGTGTCCCAATATGAAAGAGGTGAAAAATACTAAGTATTATCGTGCCCTATGACTGGCAGAACAACAAAGTAAGTAAACTTGATTTTGGTGAACAGCTTTTGCAATATTTGGGGCAACTATCAGTCGACAGAGGGGAAGGTATATATCGGTTTGCTTTTACAAATTTTGAATAAACAGAACTCTACTGGACGTCAATGTGCAGCCATTGGCACCTGGTCATGGAAGCTACGAGGGACCGAATGTTAACAAATCTTGAACTAGGTTGCTTATAAGCGAAGGAAAAGAAGTGCACAAGCTAGCCTAGGTTGGGTTTTCCTATGGACCAGATTATTGAGGTAAGGTGGGCAGAGCTGCTTTTGTGGCGACTCCAAGTCTGTAAAAGCATATATTTAGTGCAGGCTGGTAAAATGAGACATACACATGCATCCAGTGTTGAAGCCATAGTAAAGGAACGGCATGGCCATGGTTGCCCTTGAGTTTTGAAAACAGCTTTATTACCCCTTAAGCTTTTTGCTTATTTTAGAGATAACGTGGCCCTACTTAATCCTGTATTGTATTTTTTCCCACTTAGTTGGCCCTTTAGTTTTGAATCCCTGGCTTGGCCCATGCATGATTGTATCACTTTATGACTGATGTGTGCCAGTCTAACATGTTTTGCTCATTGTTTGAGACTTGGGGGGTATTTTGATCAATATTGCCTTTTTTCCCCCTTTATTATCTATACGAGTATGAGGATCTGAGTATATTGGGAAAAAATAGGCAGAATGCAGATATTGTGGGGGAAATATGGTAGAATAGCAAACGTTTGTTGGAGGTTGATTAGGATGGGGTGATATTGGCAGATGATCCTCTACTCTTCTGAATTCACCCATCCGCAACATGAAAACGGAAGTGCAACTTCCTTTCTTAAAAGAAATATGAGATACTGAGAAGTAAGAAGTGGGCACAGGGACTCGGATGGGGTATTAATAGAGCATAACTATCAATAACAATAAAAGAGTACGATTCAGAGTAATTGAATCTTATAAAGAGATTCGAGAAGAAGAAAATGTGAGGACAATTGGGAAGAAGCATTCAAAAATTGCTGCTCCAAACGGATCCCAAGAATCTCTCTCTCTCTCTCTCTCTCACACACACACACACAGACACACACACTCTCCTACCTTTTTAAATGTTTTGCTATTTTTATTATGTTATTCTGACAGTTNCTCTCTCTCTCTCTCTCTCACACACACACAGACACACACACAGACACACACACTCTCCTACCTTTTTAAATGTTTTGCTATTTTTATTATGTTATTCTGACAGTTTTGTTTTATGTATAATGTATCACAGATCTGATATTTCTGTTGATGCAAAATCTGAGTTGGTATATCCTGTGTGGCTGTTTGTGGTTGTTGACTTATTTCTGCACCCATTTCTTTCTCGTATCTTGTTTGATATCCTTGTTGCATTTTTCTTTGTTATCAAATTTGAGTTATAATTCATTGAGTGTTCATATTTCTTTTGAGATGAAGAATCGTGTAACTTGATACCATTGTTGATAGCAAGTTGAATAGTCAGTGTGAACTGCCATTCATCTGCTATTGCCACACATGGGAATATTATAGGAGTGAAAAATCACAATGAAATCTTTTCTCGCATGGCTTTTAATGCTAATGTCCTTGCAAACTGAAATTACTTTTGTTTTCTGTATTAAATGTAGAGGTCGGAAGAAAGTGATGTCAGTGACGACAAGAGGCTCCTTCAGTCTGATTCGGAAAATATCAGAAGACTGAAATTTGAGGCCACATTGAAACTACAGCAGGAGAACAGTGGTTTAATTGAACCCAAAAAAAATGAGGTGTTACTGCCGGGTACGTTCCTTCCGCAACCAATCACACATCCCTCAACTGTTTCAGACAAAGAAACCACTGAGCAGCAACACGCAGATCAAGTGATTAATGCTGAAACAAGTTCAGGTAGTCCTTCAGATAGGCCAAGCAGCAGTAAGCACAGGTACTCAGGCATAAGGAAGAACCGGGGACGAAATTCAAATTCAGATCAAGCGGTTGAATCTCAAACGAATTCAAGTGATCCCTCACAAAGACTAAGCAGCAGTGAGCACAGGTACTCGGGCATGAGGAAGCACCGGGGACAAAATTCAAATTCCGATCAACCACTCGACTCTCAGGCGAATTCGGATGATTCCTCACATAGGCTAAGCAGCAGTAAGCACAGGTACTCAGGCATGAGGAAGCACCAGGGACGAAATTCAAGAGAACAAGTCAAACAGTGGATTAGAAAAGAGAACGATAGTACAAACTAACATTGTTAAAATATTTTTATGGGTATTTTTTTGTGAGTCCTTCCCAGAAGCTGAAATAAAAATGGTTGGTAGTGAAGATGATGAGAGAGCAGATACTTTCATCTCTTGTTATATTTTGATGCTAAATTCCTCGCATGAGACAACATTAATATGAAATTTTGAAAACTGAGAAAAGATATCCTAGTGTCTTAATGATGTTGGAATGAGTGTGTGTCTGTGTATTTTTAATTTTTTTAATTTATTATTATTTTTTGTTTGTGTGTGTGTGTGTTGNCAGTAAATTATTTTTTCGTATTAATGTTGAATTAACAAAAATATCATCAATCAGTATTTGTTACATTGATGACAACTTGATTTAATTAATTGGGCGGTTATAATAGTAAATATGTAGAATAATATGTTTGAGTTGGATTATACTATCACCTCTTTTGGTGATATTAAAATAACTTTATAATACAAGTTTATCGTATAAAAAATATACGATAAGTATTTTGAAATGAGTACGGTATCAAATTTGCTTACCAAACAAAGTATTGAATCCAATTAAATAAAAAATAGTACAATCTAATATTTAATCCTCTCATAATATGTCTAACGAACGAGTCTGTTATAGATAGGACTTATAATTGAGTCGAGTTACTTGAGTTTGACTCAGATCTAACTCATATAGGACTCTAAATAATTCTTTAGGCTTATTTAAAAAAACAAACTTAAAAAGTTCGATTCGAGTTTACAAAATTTGGCTCGTTTATATGTAAATAGTTGATTTATTCGGGTTCAGCACGTCAAAAATTAGGGTTTGAGTTTGACTCATTTTTTGAACGAGTCGAGTTTGAAAATTTTTTTAGATTCATTTAAAAAAACAAATTTTTAAGGCTTGACTTGAGCCCGTAAAAGTTGGCTCAATTATTACTACACTCCAGAGGTTGAGTCATAGTTATCCTTGACTCATGTGCACGATTCGGCGAGCGATTCTGTTTAGTCAAAATTTACATTGTATACATGACTCCAAACGACGCATGGTTGTGATGGTTCTTTGATAACAGAAAAAAAAAAATAGAAAGAGAGAAAAAAAGAAAGAAGGAAAACCCTAGTTTTTGTTTTAATTGGTTTGGAATTCATCTAATGCTATTGCCATTGTGAACCCATATTCTTTGTGCGGGCGGGTCCCTACAGTGACATTACTAAGGTAAACACACCAACGTGGAACATATGGTTCCTAGCTCGGTGCGGTTCAATGAACCAACCCTAAAATGTCAACCAGGAGAAGAATTGGATGTCCAGTGCAAATATTGTCAGGCCCATGGAAGCCACATTTTAAGTGAGGGGGAGAAAATTTTTGATATCCAAAAATTTATTTTTCGGTACTATATATATATATATATTTTTTTTTTGGGTTCAACGGTTAAGAAGTGTCTAAACTAGCTTCTGCGTACCTTAACTAATTCTCCCCCTTGTCCGATCAAAGACAGATAAATCATGCCGAGATTAAAGTATTCATGAAAGATAAATCTCTTATGGCTTAACCTAAAAGATTGTCAAGAGTTGAATTCAAGACGTCTGAGTTTACAGCTCGTCTCTGTTACACCTTGAGCTACCCTTTGGTGTGTACCATCTATATAATAAAATACATAGGAAGTTAAGNCTCAAGACGTCTGAGTTTACAGTTTGTCTCTGTTACACCTTGAGCTACCCTTTGGTGTGTACCATCTATATAATAAAATACATAGGAAGTGAAGTTTTATCACCTATATATTTTTTTTCAAAACTATCATATCACTCATTTCTATCATATGTTCAATCATTTAATATTTGATTAATTTGTAATTTAACATAATTTTTATTTCAGATATTATTCATACATTATAGTATACATATGCTGAGAAAATTTTATCGAATTTCGTATTTTTGAGAAAATTTTGTTAATATTTTAAAGAAAATAATAGGGAAAAATAAATCTTGAAAGATGTAATCAAAAAAAATGAATGAAAGAAAGAAAGAAAAATTATTATTTAATATAGTGAGTTCGATATTTTGGGACTCGACTTTTATGTTATATTGTGTCTTCAAACACGAGTTATAGCTAGTACTAAAATATTAGCCCAAGTGTTGTAGATCTTGGTTTGATACATTTATAATTACTAGTCGGATAAATAGTAAAATACGATTAAACTATAATTTAACAAACCTTCCCAATTGTTGTATTGCATGTGATTGGATAAAAAAAGGTCTGATATTAAAACCTATACTCTAATAGTTAAGTGAATTTATTTCAAATGCCCCATTGACCATACCCTAAAAACTTTTAGACAATATTACCAAAATTTTGCACCTTTCTGAATTACCATTATACCCTTCAATTTTTATCCTTTTACTCTTACTTTAATTCCTTGGTTCCATAGGCAAAACTGGGATTTTGTGCTTGACACATCATTTATGTTGTTCAATTTGAAACTCGAGCACCAATGAATTTGTTCTAAAAAAGTGGCTGTTCATTTTAGGAATAGAGATTATTGTTGCAGTTGTTTATAGTTTTTTTTTCATTGAAATTAAGTTGGTGTTCAATGTATCTTAATATAAGATCGAAAATAATGCAGTGGATGGATGTTAATTCACCAAGTAACCAAGAAATTTTCCTGATGTTGCTCTGAAGGTGCACTTCAATGGGTTCATCTCCAGCCTGTATTCTCTGCATCTCTGTAGGACTCGACAAAACACTTTCACTTGATCTTTTTTTTGCTTGGATTTCACAACTATGTCATTAACGTAATCTTAGAGTTCGTGCCCAATTTAGATGAGTCATTTCACTTACTTAAAAGATAGTTTGCAAAGTCAGAATAAAAGCATAATAAGATAAATTGATTGGGTAATTCGATCACTACTTCGTATGTACTCTCCTTTATGTTTTTTAGGCTACGGGGAGAGAGCTATGAGTACGTTTCCTCATTTCCGCTAGAATAGAGGAGATGAGAGAAGGAAAAGAGAGAAAGGAATATAATGAACTGAGAGAAACTTCAAAATACTTGAACACTTATTGTAATGGGTCCTAATATAGAGAGGAGAACAAACAAATACTACAAGGAAGGTTGCTTCAAATGAAGGATTAATCACATGGGAAGATATATACGTATGTCTAGTTTTTCCTTGTTAGAGTTCAAGTTCTCCATCTAATATTCAACAAAAGAAAGGGCTAGCAAAAGTTTATGACGAGAACTCCTTCATAGGAACAAACGGCTAGTAATCTCTCAAAAATGTGAGAGGTATTGTTATCTAGTCGCTCGGGTTGTAAGAGTTTTTCAATTTAGACAAAATATGTTTTTTTCTTTAAGCATCTCTTAAGCATGTTTTCAAGAACATTTTGACATATCTTGACCGGTGTTGTATATCCGTTTTTTGTTTTTTTAACAATAAAAAGAAAAAAAAATCAAAAAATCTTATCGCCTTCTCTTCATCTTTCAAATTCCTATCAAAGATGTGATAGTTTGGGTGGCCTAAGGAGATTAGCATGGCCAATCTTTCTCATATAAGCAGGAAAGAAGGGGGTAGGTTTAGGAGCATTTTAGCCAAAAAAAAAAGCCTGCATATAAGTTTTGAGCTCGGGTTTATATTCGGGTTGATTTAAAGATCATGTATTAAGCATAGAGCACTAAGACAAACAATCTAGGGTGTAAAGGAAATTTAGAAACATCATGATCATATATACCCAATACAGTATGAAATTGATTTGTGCTGTTATCCATAATTTCATTATTTATTCAATCAAGAGAAAACACAATAAATCTATTGATAGCTCTTTTCTTGGCTTGTTGCATTGGACAGTTGAACAAGGTCTGGCAAACTTTTTCCTATTTTCCTCATACAGATTTGTAATCGTAAGACATCACATGCATTTAAGTTTCCAACCATTTAAAGTTGGAAAAAAAATATCAATTGTGGATAGTGGCTTAGATATTGAGAATATCAAACGGAATTTTGAATTAAAATTTCGTTTTAAAACGATTAAAATGTTTTTGTTTTCAAGGAGATCGAAACGAATCAATGATAAAATTAAAAATTTAATATTTCAAGGCGCTTTATAATGTTTCAAGGTGTTTTATAATGTTTCAATGTATTTGCACAATTATTCGGGATCAATAATATATTAGAAAAGATATAAGTCCGATAAAATAGCCTAAGCATGCTAATGGAATAATGGAAATAGAGATATTGTTGAGATATATTGGTGCTTTGGGGCCACCTGCCAGCAAAAACTGAGGTTATTTGTTCAGGCTTAGCAAGTAAAGACATTAAGGGTAAGGGTTCAGAAAAGAAAGTCCATATGGGTGTTATAATTGATGGCCATTTTCAATTGAAATGGGCAAACATGAAAGGTTTCCATATCTGGAATGCAAATGGACATCACTGTCAAGAAGAAAATCCCAACCCTAAAAACATAGAAATGCTTCCCAATCCTATCTTGTTTCACCATACTCTTCCTTGCAAAACAGTCTTTTACACGTCCCGGTTTTGCATGGTTTGCGGATGATTCCATTTGAGTCTTGAATTGCAAGTTTAAGTTCAAAGGTCGTCTCGTTGGTATGATCCCATTACTTTTCGTAAATCTCGGCCCTATGAGTGACTTGGAGTTAGGACATGTGGATTTACATCTTGCCTTTTATTTGATCACCGAACCATTATATACAGGTTGAAAAACACTCTTTTGTAAGAGAGTTTTTGATAATTCACCAATAATCCATCGCTATCCATCCACTCAACTATGTTTATGCATCATGCTAGTTCTTGTTTGGTCTATGTCTCAATCAGTTACAAGTTAAGCAAAGCAAAGCTCAACGATTTAAACGAATAATTGCTCAAAAGATAGAAATTCTAACCAAGGAGGAATGCATTAATAGGATTTGGTAGGCACAAAAGCATAAAAATCTATCTGGAAAAACTGTTCATAATATTTGAAGCAAAGACCACTTGATAATTTACCTTATTTAGAAAAAAAAAGGAATAAGTCGGTGCAAAATCAAGAATA